CCTCCGCCATTGGGACCCGTGCCCAGTGCCCGCTGCGGCTACAGGAATACGAGTTCCAGTTGCGGCAGGGTCAGGCGGTGTGGGCGTTGAAGGTGATGCGTGACGGCCTCATATTGCGTGCGCACGAGTACATCTACCGGGACGGCGTTCACGGGACGAAGGCGAAGCTGCGATCGGGATCCAGGACGGACGCGATTCAGCTGCGCATCGACTGCGCGGCGGAGGAGTACCGCGCTGCGCGTGCCGCCTTGGTGAAGCTCGGGCGATCTTGAGACGGACGGAGTGGCAGCAACATCTGCGGCCACTGCTTGCGGAGGACGTGCGGGGCCGTCCGCGCACGACGTTGGGGACCCTGAGCGGCAGAGAGGGGGGGGGAAGAAGAAGAAGGCTCAGTCGTCTGCGATGGGGCCGGAGGATGCGCGAGCTGCTGAGATACAGGCGGAAGCGAAGAAGGGGATGTCATGGGTCTGGTACTCGGAGGGAAGGACGGGGAAGCCGGAGGAGGTGGTGAAGAGCGAGCGTAAGTCGGTCGTGCGCTCACCGTTAACAATTCCTTGCTGACGCTTTTCAAGCACTGCGGATTGAGTGGGCTAGGACGCGAGCAAATGGCCATCCGGTACGCCGAGGAGATCGACCTCGTCGAAGAGGAGATGCGGCGCGTGCTGCATTTTCTGAGATGGCGGAGAGATTGGTGGCACGCGCGGGCGGAGCTGAGGGTGCAGGTGGACCGGGCTTCCCAAGAGGGGCAGGGAGCCTACGCCAGGAAGCAGGCTGGATACATGCAGGGGCTTCGGGAACGCTTCAAGCAGTTGTGGCGATACGTCCCGCAGGAGCTCAGAATGGCACGCGAGGAATACGCGGCAATGACGCCGGACAAAGACGAGACCGTTGACGGGGTGCAGGAGCAGCAGGCGGGACAAGACGAGACCGTTGACGGGGTGCAGGACCAGCAGCCGGGAATGTCGACGTCCGCGACACATCCCCAGACGCAATTGGAGGAGGAATTGGTGCACGAGTGACTGTTGGACGGACTGGACGGTGGGCATATGAATAATGTATTTATTTCATAGCAGTAAGTACTGCTATGTACTAGCCGATATTGCAGAGGGATTGAGATGGAAACGGGCTCAGCGTTGGAAGCGTGGCTGGGGATGTTACGAGCGGCAGACTTGCCTGATTAGGACGTATTAGTAAGCCCGCCTCTGAGGTCTTTGGCAAACAAGAGGCTACACTCTGGACAACGTCGACGACAGTGAGGGCAGCGCTCGCTGGAACACTGATGGCAAGTACCCTACAGGTGAGGATCTCTCAAATGATATATCAGACTGATCTACCGACCTGAGCAATGGATATATCAGTACTGATCTACCCGGAGAGCGCATGATATATCACTATGCCACCGAGCGGTGGTCATACCGTAGGTGGCCCTTCGTAGAAATGATGGCTTGGCATCAGCACGGGAATGCCAAACACGACCATTTTTTAACGCCGCGTCTCTTCGACATCGCGCATCTCTGCGCGCATGAGCCCCGTCAGCCCCACTCTTTTGCTCCTAATTCTTCTGCCATGCCATGGGACCTTCTCCTTTCACTTCTACTCCTCAGAGGGCATCGAATTGGCCCGTAAAATCCTCCTTGATGTTTTGCCCAATTTCGAGCCGCATCACTACCAAATGGACGGAATTTGCAAGGTTCTTGCGGGTGATATTACCGTCCTGAAGGGGCTTCGAGACCAGCATGGTGCGTTGTTGGCTGTCATTGTGGAGCTAAGGGGTACATTCCGAGATCTCAAAAAAAGCGAATGCGGCGGCCAAGAAGGCCGAGAAAATAGCACAAAAATAATTACTATAGTAATATGCAATTCAATCCCCATCCTCGCTACCTCCTGGGTCCTCATATAGACCACCATCATCCTCCTGGTCTTAGGGGGCAGCAGGGGTCCGAATTGTGCCAAATTGAATAGGAGCTGGATAGGAAACGCCGCCCCGACGGATAATTGCGGTGGATTTTGCGGTGGCGGGGTGCGGTTTGCAGGGGAAGAGAGAGGCCGATTTCTGGCGGCAGGCGTGTCGGGTACTTCCCAGTTGAGATTCCACAAGTTCTCGGCCATGTCGTGGTGTCTAGCGCACTGTGTCGACGCGCCGCAGATGAGGGACTCGACGCGTCGTGACGGGCTGTCAAGAGAGATCGTGGGAACGTCCACTTTGGGTCGACCTAATCCGGAAGGGCCACCTACGGCTTTCATAGCGCGAATAAAATCAGACCATATATCAGGTCTTTTTTGTCTTTTTTTTTTTTTTCAGAAAAACGATATCTGATCATTTGGTCTGACTAGGGAGACTACATACTATTAGCAAGTCCACCGGTCTTCAAATTGCCAGAATGAAGATTGAGTCCGAGCGTCGGCGATCCCTAGGATGCCGAATGAGCCGAAAAGATGATCGGCGCGGAAGGTTCCGCCGATCTGCACATAGGAACAGTGATGGTCCGGTTCGGCACATCGGCGCCTATTTTACTCTTTCTCTTGTCCACAACTCGTCAAAATCTTCTCGCTCATTGCCCTGCCTGGTCTCTCTTCCAGCCTGCTTTGTTCGCGAGGGCGATTATGTGAACTCTCCCTTGACATGCAAGTATCCCCTTTCCGCTCTACCAGTGCTGTCAGTTCCATGGCAAATTCAATTTCCTTCACGGCAGCAATCCCCCTGAGGCATTAATATTTATGGCACATATACTGTAGCATTTAATTCAATTCGTACCCACCTGTGACCTGTGACCGCGACGTACGAAATCCAGATTTCGTATTTGGGCCGGGTCGGGCGTGACACCCATTTTTTTTTCGTAAATCGGCCGAAAGTTCGCAGGCCTCAGATATGCATATCTGCCTCCCCAGGTCGTTGTAGAATGTTTCAAAGTACTCATATTTCATTTGGGATTTAAAATAGGAGATTTAGTCACATAATCATCGGAATTTCACGACATCTTTGCTGCAGACTGGTCTTCCTGACACGTTAGGGATAATTTATCCTGCGTAGAAACGCTGCGGCACCGCGTGATGGCAAGCAGGCGGCGCGGAGGCGGAAATTCGATTTTTTTGGGCCGTTTTCTGGCGATTTTGTGACTTGTTGGTGACCTGTGACCGGTACGAAAAAAATCGTAAAATTTTAGGCCTATGACCTGTGACATACGAATTGAGTTAAATCCTACAGTACTGTGTAAAAACTAGTCACATGCAACTTTGTGTTTTTTCTGCGATTTCATGTACAACTTTAGGTGTCTGCCTGCAACAAATTTGTCTGGGTAAATTGAATCCTGCATCTTTCATTGTACATATTCCGAATCTCCTGCATCTTTTCCTGCAAGTGGTTGCATTGCATGCAACCCGGAAAAAATGATTGCAACTCAGCACAGTTCTGCTTGTACCTCTTTCCCCTCAGTACATTTAAATCATGAGATATTTTCACAATCTGGGGACGACATACCCTCCCGGATACATGCAAGTGTACCCTATCCAAAAATCAGATCAATCAAAAAAGAATATCTAATGCTACAGCTGTTCTGCATGGAAACCTTGATATATGGCAATTACCACATCCCCAAAATATTTTGAAGATCCAGTGCCGTCCGGAATTGCACTCCAAATCGACTTGGTCCTACTTTCAAGGGAAATGGCGCAGAATTGAGCCCAAGATGGCTGGTTTGGTGAAAATGTCCCGCCCCCCCCTCCAAAAAAAAAAAAAAAAAACGCCCTAAGTTCCGCAAGAGTTTCTCTCCTGTGAATTTTTCGATATTTTAGTCAGATTTTATGACTAATTTTCATCCAACATCGTCGGCATCGTGTCGGGCAGTGAGCATGCCAGGCGTGCGAGGGCGGGATGGTGGCACTCAACTGTCAATATTATTTACGATTTTTCGGGTATTTTAGCTCTTTGAATGAGGCAAAAATGAATGGCTGCAACCCTTCCAATGTTGTTTAATATTTCAGTGCATTAGAGATACCATCTAGACTACTGGGTTAATATAAATCACTTTTGTTCCCAGCTAGGGTAAGGCTAGCCTTACCCTACCTGGGACTGCTTATACCCACACCTAGGGCAGGCAAGCTGCCCTAGGTCTTCGAAATTGTATTACACTGCTTGTTCTCTGTTTTGTAGGTGGCTCAGCTAGGACATACCGAAATAGGGAAGAAATGAACAATATGGAAGAAAATCAAAGCGTGCAATGCCACCTTCACGAAAGTATAAAGGGTGGGTGTTGCCCACGTTTCTGAGGTCGTTTCTGGGGTCGTTTCTGATGTCGTTTCAGAAGTCGTTTCTGTAAATTGTTGGCATCAGAAACATGGGGAGAAACGACCCTGGATTTATTTGGCGGGAGAAACGACTTCAGAAACGACGCAGAAACTCCTTCCAGTCGTTTCTCGTTTCTCCCACGCTTTAATATTTCGAGAAACGACTCGAGAAACGAGTCCAGAAACGACTGATTAAAACTTACTCTGACTGACCCTATTGCGTCATCAGACGGTCATCTCTTTCAGGGGGCTGCGGATATCGTCTAGTCGATCATGTGAGTTGTGGCTTGACCTAGGTCAAAGCAATTCAATAATTTTATACAACCAACCTTCTCATCCGGCGTGTCCTCCCTTCTTGAGGACGTCCATCGTCTTCTGGGACAAATTCAGAACGAATGTCGTCTCAGTGCAGATCCCGACTGTGGTATGTGCGAAGACTGGGTTGCCGAAAGATCAAGACGAGGTCAAATACTGTCCAGATGCAACCCATGCCCTCGATGATGCTCTGCAGCTTGAATATGACATTAATCGAGCAGCGTCTCCGGCATCAAATTGAACTCGACCTTATGATAAAGCTCAGCATTCTCAAGATGACCGAGTTGTGCAATATTTCCAGATTTAGCAGTATTTTGCTTCCTCGTCCTTGTATGAATAGGTTCAAAAAATTGCGTAGCACGACCGCTCGAAAAAAGAAAAACGGCAAACTGATTGATTTATGACCCAGCCTGGAATGGAACCAGGTCCGTCTGATTAATCTTTCAAGGCACCTTCAGCTTATGAAAATCAGATGCATGCCGGGCACTACCGGGTCTGTTTCCTTTCCTTGTGTTCCAGTACAAGGAAGACAAAGATTGCTAGGAACATGAGGTTATGCACTCGAACAAACCATGGATTAAATTAAATATTTTCTGGGCCGGCTTGAAAGCTTCGCCTCATCCAGCCAAGTGGGCAACGGAATAATAGGGAAGAAAGACTCGACCGATATTTAACATAACCCAGCCTGCATTCGATCCAGGTCTTTCCGATTAGTCTTCAAGTTCCTGTCGGTAGGCTGAAAGCTTACGGAAATCAGATGCACACCCAGTGCTACTGGATCGTCTCTTGATTGGTACCTACAGAACTGACGTGACTAAACGTGACCAATGACATCATTTCCTCGGCAATCAATCGGCAATGCAATTGCTTGGTTTTCGTTTTCGTTTCTCGTACATACCCACAAAGAATCCCTGCAGTGTGTCCCAGACTTCAGCCCAAGGAAACGGATTCTGCATATGCGCATCAACAAAGCATGCACGGCACGACATTTCATAACCCGTACAGTCATAGCACTGGGTGGTCGCAATCATGCCCGACCTGCCACGCAGACATGGCTGGTCTGCCAGTTTGTCCACTTCAGATTCAAGCAGGATTGAGGCCAGTTCATCAAAGTGGCCGCCAAAGTCTTCCAGAAGTTTTGCACTTTGTGTCTTCAAATGTGATCACAACTCAACCGATCTGATTTAATACCAAAGTCATACCTGGGTCTTTGTTTTTTTGACTGGTGGTGCCACTGTCTCGACGATGGGACAGTGCCAGCCGCAGCGACATTCAGAGAGGGGATTGTTGACTTCCTTCCAAGCACTGACATTGTTTTGGATGATCCCGCATCGCTGGTTACAGTATATTCCAGGCGACTGACGGTTGGGTTGTGGAAAGGTACCATGTGAGGGTGTTCATCCAGATCAACGGCTTTCCGCTTCGCTTTTGGTTTTAGCTTGCGGGTGGACATTGGGAAGAGGGAGAGAGTGCAAGTGGGCTCAAGTGAAATGAGGCAACCGGTGTTGCGCTTATAAAAGTTAGAGTTGTTGACTGTTGTTTATGCACCAGATCCACGCTGCCTCGGGCCCAGGCACGCGAACATCTGATACTCGGCTTTACTACCTCAGGGTCATCCTAGGCACAGAATGATAGTTAACAGGCACAACTCGACCCTTTGTAGGTGATCCTTTGAACCGTTTCGCTGAGTCTGCACACATCCTGTTTCCCCGTCTTGCTGTGTCGGAATAAACATCTGAAGGGCAAGATTGTTGGAAATGAATAAAGTTGATTTAAAAAAGTCAGAATCGGAAACAACTGGCATATTGGGGAGAGAGGGAACCCGCTTTTCGGTGTTGTAAGCAAGGTAAGAAAATCGTTCAAGTATTTCAAAAGGGTTCAAGTGAGTAGTTCGATGAAGTGGTCGGGCGGAGTAATATCAACTCCTACATTTTTAATATAGAGGACCTTGTTACGCCCAAAGATGAGTCCCATTGCATGGAGGCTCTGCCAGAAGTCCTGAAGACCTCCATTGTGCCAGCCATTTGAATGCATCTCTATTGCATCAGGTCATGCTTTTCAAGATGCCTGCCATTTGAACGCACCCGGAGTTGCTAATACTGGCCGCGATAAAAGTATAACAGTCATTATTGGACAAAAAAAGGGGCAATGGCCATGCATGGCCATGCATGTCCACGGGACCTTTCTCAAGTTTTGGAGGAAATAAAGCAACTCGGTTTGATAATTCGAGAGATCGTCGCCATTCCCACGGTGGATTTTGAGCAGAAGCCAGGACAGATTCAGTTCGACATGGAAAGCGCCAGGAGCAAGTTGGTAATACTCGAGCCGAAGGAGGGATGACATGTCGCCCATACGAAGGAGCTGAGCTGAACGGATCAGCGCATTGGTCTTTTGGTCGTTATATGAGGGGACCGAGATATTGTCCAAATCGTGTATGGCGAACTTTAGTTGGTCTAAATAGACGTTATCATTGATTCTGGCAGAGGTAGCCGGTACTCGGGGTGCTGAAGTTCTGGTGCATCTTTACAGCTAATGTCGGAACCGAAGGCGCGGGTAAAATTTTCTTGTTTTGGAACATTTTCGAAGAATTCCCGATATCTCACTCAGTTCTATGAGCTTCGAGTGTTTTTTTTTTGTTCTGATGCTCTTATTTTATTTTATGCTCGGGATAGATACAATGAATTCTAAATCTCACTCAAATTTCGTGCACAAGGCTTTCCCATGCTATAATTCGCTGTTTCTCGACCGAGAGAAAGCGGAGATGTTGATTGGGCTCGGAAAGCACCTAAGTGACATCACTACAGCACAGGATATTTAATCGTAATGTATTCGCTGCGCCGTTGTTGCTGTAATAGTCCGCGATGTTGAGGAACGGGATACGCATCGCATACGACGGGCCGCCGCTCGTGCAGCGGCGAGTCGTTCTCGAGCTCGGGAAGACGAGCGCGTCCTCTTGAACAAAAGGGCTGGGGTTGTGCTACAGGTTACAATCGGGTAAGTTACGAGAATCTAAGATGGCTCGAAGAAGGAAAGGAATGGCACTTACCGCAGGCACGACACGCGCGATCCCTGCCTCGTCAAAGAGCTGTTCCACAAGTATGCACTCAGCGGGAGAAACTTGAGCAGCGGCGTGCGGCTCAGCAACACCCGCAGATCGCCCCCATCCGCATCCATATCTGTATCCGCATCCGCACCCGCACCATCACCCGCACCATCACCGACAGCCATCCGGGGCGCGACACGCACGGGTGACCGCCTCCCGAGCTTGCGGTCTGCATGCTGTCCTCAAACATGCTTGCCTGATGGCGTTCACGACACGCGCCCTGCAGGTCAGACTACGTAGGGATCCCATACGTGGTAGTTAGTGGTGGTGACGTTGTGGACGGCGGCAAGTTCGGCGGGTGATAACGGTTAGGGACTAAGAGGGATGGAGGCGGCGTCAATAAATCCGGCGAACCGAGAAAAAGATCGACAAGAAAGATGTAAAATGGCAACAACAAGCGAAGAACCAGCTCCAAATGGGAAAGGCCTCCCGCCGAACCCAAAGAGAGAAGAAATGCGTAGACGGGAGGAGGGAACAACGAAGCGCGAGACACAAAGAGAAAGAAATAAAATCGCACCACAATTCCACGCCAATCCTGCCCTCTTCCTCTTCCCATCAGCGCCGTGCAGAACTTGAAGAGCGCAGACTCTAGCGTCTAAGATGTCGATCTGTTCTCTTCAGTATTGGAAATGGTGCATGATTTTGGCCTCTGGTTGCTATGGAGCAGCGAGGATGCGAGCTTGAGCGCTTGAGCGATGAGCAAGCTGTCTTCTACGGGAGTCCCGGCGGGACAGTGTTTTGCTACACCCAGAACATGTTTCCCACCCCGGATACTGTCCCGATTTCTGCACAGAGCATCAAATTTGTTACTGTATATGTGGGGTCAATTGTACCCGGTTTTTTGCCAAAACCGGCCTGCGCGATAGCCAGCAAATTTTAGTCAGGACTGTCGATTTAGATTTCTTGCTTACAGCCGTTTGCAGAACATAAGGCGCGGTCGGTTTTTTTTTTTTTTTTTCAACGGTTTCCAGCAGAATCGGCGCCACGGGCTCAATTTTGATCCAATTGCCCTGGGAGCCGGTGCGTTGTATTCGCATTGAAAGTCTGCCTGAGACGAAATACCGTTTTTTTTTTTGATCCAATTACATAATGAGATTTCCTCCAAAAAATCTCGGCTTTAAGCAGGAACGCTGTAGCACTGTGAGTACCGCCCCGATTGGCCTAGTTTTTAATATGTTATACATCCGAAGCAGTACTATGGGTCTATGATGTTTACAGATATGAGTGTACCCGAGTTCTCATGCAGAGCTCTACTTATTGCAGAATGTGAATATGCGCCTCACTAAAATGTGAGCCAAATCACAATGACTTGACATATTGCCTAATAGACATTATAGACCCATAGTACTCTTTTGGAAGTATAATATATTCAAAAACTAGGCCAATCGGGGCAGTACCCACATTGCTACAGTGTTCCTGCTTAAAGCCGACATTTTTTGGAGGAAATCTCATTATGTAATTGGATCAAAAAAAAAAACAGTATTTCGTCTCAGGCAGATTCTCAATGCGAATACAACGCACCTACTCCCAAGGCAATTGGGTCAAAATTGAGCCCGTGGCGCCGATTCTGCTGGAAACCGTTGAAAAAAAACAAAAAAACCGACCGCGCCTTATGTTCTGCAAACGGCTGTAACAGTTCTATTCGCAATGTCGAAAGAAACACTTGCCAGAGTGATAAGAAAAAAAGGCCCGCAAATCTCGGACACGGGGTAGCGGCAGCTAGGTGAGCCGCACCATATGAAGCGTGTCTCTCGAAACGTAAGTTGAGCCAAGGGGGTCATCGAAGTGACAAGCGTAATATAAGAGTGATTTGAGTACCTCGACTTTCCGCAGTGTACCTTTTCGTTCAAATAAAAAGTCACGCGTCCGAGTGGCAATCACAACGGAATAGCACATTCCGCGCCAGCTGATGGAATGCCCGTTCGCGGCCGGAAATTTGCCCGAAGCCGCGGTATATATTAAAAAACCACTCCCGGGAACTCATTCAGCTGGTTGGGATGAAACTCTCCAAATCCCTGATCGGTTTTATTTTTAAGCTTGTTACATGACATGGATGTTTGAAAAGTCATGACAGAATACGTCGATGAATGTGTTCAAGCAACCGTTGAGCATGCGATGCAGGGACCGCTGTTGCTCAACGTCAAACGCACAGCTAATTTTACGGACCTGGGGTCCAAGGTCTTGGCACGGGCAGAAATGGGAATGGCAACGCTTTTGGTGGCGATTATATACATGGGCAGAGCAAAGCTCCACCCACAAACTTCATGGGAGCGCTTATGGTCGCTTCCAAGTATCTCAATGATTCGACCCTCAAGAATGCGCACTGGGCATTGTGCACAGAGATATTTGGCAAGTCCGACACCGGCTTGTCGCCGCCCGGGATTCATATGCAT